GCACTCCTCATGATTAGTAGAGAGATGCTTGCTACCTTTACAGTAATAAGTTGTCCCATATCTTGGGGCAGGGTACTGCTAACACTGCCTATGGCTGATTAGTAGTTTCAAATTTTTCCAAATGGATCAAGCTGCATCCAGGAGAGGCCAACAAGCGGTGGTGGTGGTAGGTAACTAAAAGAAGCTAAGTACCTGACTTAAGTAGAGAAGGCAGATTGAAAATGGAAGAGAAACATATAAAATGTGTATGTGTGCCTTTAATAAATCTGTGCAGAGGTTCTGTGCATATGCATTCTTTATTATAGGGTTATCTTACATAATTATGAAGGCATTCCTCCTCCTCTCCAGTTGTGTGGGCAATCTGATTTTTCTCCAATTATTTTCAATTATTGGGATTTTAGGGGAGAATATAATAAAGCAAATGATAATTTTTATCTGTATTCATAACATAAAAATTTGAGAAGAATCATAAGCAGTTGATATAAAAAAGCAAACATGATGTCAACTGGACACTGCAGAACTACATAATACAGTAGTTACAATATTCAATCATGTTAACAAGTCCCTCTTAGAAAATGTTTAAAGTAATTATAGGCAGACTGTTGAAAAGGGAACCAGAGTAATTAAAAGGAGGTGCTTTGAGTATACAGGGAAAAGGAAGGATTAATTAAAAATTTTTATTCATGGCCTAGTGGGAATTCTTGGTTAAAAGCAAAACAACACAGGAATGCCTATGAAGTTCTCACACTTTAAAACAATTTCAAGATTCACTTTTATGACAGAAACCAGTACACAAAACCCTCTCAGTAAAAGCTGAATATCACCACAAATGTGGTGATGGTCTGCCTCCTCTTTTAATTTTTGGTAGAGAACAGAGAAGCCACAGATGGTGCACAGTTTACCAAATATTAGGCATTAAATAAACTTTAGTTCCAACTTAAATTTGGAAGCATAAGTTTCCTGAGCATTTCTTTTTCTTTTCCAAAGACATACTTATTTATATTAGAAAGGTTAAGTTGCAGAGAGAGAGAGAGAGATATGCTGGGTTTCTTCCAAAATTGCCATAATAGCTAGAGCTGAGCCAACCTGAAGCCAGGAGCCACGAGCTTTTTCCAGGTCCCTCATGAAAGTGCAGAGGCCCATGGACTTGGGCCAGCTGTCACTGCTTTCCCAGGTCATAAGCAGGGAGCTAGATTTGGAGTGGAGCAGTTGGGACTTGAAATGGAGCCCATCTGGGTTGCCAGCACTGTAGGTGGAGGCTTTGAGCAGTATACCACCATGCTGATCTTTTGAGTGCTTTCTGATCAGTGTATAGGTGGAATTCCAACTTAGTTTCCATGGGGTGCAACAAATCACCAAAACGCCAGCAGAGTTATGTAACCTTCTCCGACCATCTATTTCTCTGTTCTTTGATTACCAAAGAATGTGAACCAGAAAGTGACTTAAAACATCAGCCACTTATCATCAGTTCTGAGTTTGTTATCAAACTTGGAAATATTTCCATAACTAAATGCTTGACTACAGAAAAATAGAAAAAAAAAGGTGTATGTTTTGGGGAAGCTCTTCCTCATAGTATATTTTAGGAAATTTATTATTTACAATTATTTTAGGAAAATGTTACTATGCATCCTGATAATGATGTAGGGAAATAAGACATGATAATTATGTAGGAAGTATAGCATCGTATACTTCCCACTAAACACTTACTAATTACAAAAGAAATAAAAGTAACTTGGAGAAAGTTGGCAAATACAACCTCAATGTACAGTTAATAATCATCAGCAGCAGACAGATCCATCCATGAGCTTCCTGGTGTGACACACTAAGAAGGCAAACATGATTGTTGTATTCTGGTTCAAAGCAGGGAATCTGAATCTAGTCACAAGGAAGCATCAGGCAAGTTCACACTATATGACAATTCTATAAAATAACTGGTCCAATCTCTTCAAAGTTTTCAACAAACTATAGAGGTGCAATCACTAAACATGATGTGAGATCATGGAACAAGGAAAGGACCTATTAGGATAAGATTCTTATACAGAAAATTTGAGTGAGATGAGTGGATGAGTCAAATAGCACTGGATTATTTGAGGTAAGATGTTAACATCCACAGAAACTAGGTGAAAGGTAAATGAAAATGTCATTATAGTACTTTACAAATGCGTACTATTGGCCCAGCACAGTGGCCTAGTGGCTAAAGTCCTAGCCTTGAAAGCGCTGTGATCCCATATGGGCACCAGTTCTAATCCCAGCTGCCTCGCTTCCCATCCAGCTCCCTGCTTGTGGCCTGGGAAAGCAGTCGAGGACGGCCCAATGCCTTGTGATTCTGCACCCTTGTGGGATACTTAGAGGAACTTCCTGGCTCCTGGCTTCCGATTGGCTCAGATCTGGCCATTTTGGTCATTCGGGCAGTAAATCATTGGACGGAAGATCTTCCTCTCTGTGTCTCCTCCTCTGTATATCTGGCTTTGCAATAAAACATGAATAAACCTTAAAAAAATGTGTACTACTCAGATTATTTCAAAATGAAAGTCTGCATTAAGACAAAAATTAAATTAATTGAAAAAACAAAAGAGCCTTAGGGGGGTAAAGATGCACTTACAACTTAACTTTAAAATTTTGCTTTTTCAAACTACCTACAATGAAGTATATCCAATTTTATTATTAAAAACTATTCTCTATAGAGACTATCTAGAGAGAGAAAGAGAAAAAAAAATTCAAGTATGAAACCCATCATATAAAATTTATATAAATATAAGTGTAAGAGGTTAAAAGTACCTGACTGTAATCTTTCCCCCAACAGTAAATTTAGCAATCCACTCCTTTTGGGGATTGCTTTATTTTATAGCTTTTGCATTATATTGATCGAGTGCTAAGAAATAAAGTATCAATGAGTTAATCATATAATTTTACATGTAACATATATGTATGTAACATAAAAAATTAAAATGGCAATCTACTTATCTACCAGTGTAAAACATAATTTTCCTACAACTTCTACCCAACTCTTTCTTATGTCAGGGTTCACTAACAATAAGAAGTCAGTGTTTGAAGAGAAAACAGTTACAGGAAACACAAGTGAATATCCAGGGCCATAACTAAGGATTTAAGAACTTTAACCTTTGTTTGTAAAGTGTGACTAACAAGGAGTGGTAAATCATCTTCCCAGAGAAGTAAACCATGTGTTAGCTACAAAAGGGTGTCAACAAAATTTATTTGTTTATTATAGCCTTACTTCCATTCCCTTCTAATTTTGGATGGTTTGTGCCTACCATATTTTATAAAACATTTTGAGTAAAGTAATAAAATTGTTACATTTTAATAAAAATACTAAGAGTTCATTGTAACACATTTAAATAATTCAGAAATGCATAAAGAAGCAGTGAAAACCACAGCAGCAGGTCCCGGTATCCATACCATTAATCTCCGTTAAAACAATCCTACGTCTTTTCTCTAATGATGAGGGTACTTCACAAAGTACCCTGGAAAATGGAGATTAAAAAGTTTATTTTGGTGAAAATTATTTTTGAAATTGTACATATGGAAAGCCTACAGCAGATACATGAAAAAGGTATATTATTAAAAACAACTAGGCATGGATTCAAAGCTTTTTGCACTAAAATAAATATTTTTAAATCCATTTTCCAAGAATTTCCAAAAGTACACTGCTGTATGTTCTTTTATGACTACTGACATTTTACATAATTGCAACGTTCCTACCTGGAAATAGAATATTTTGCAGTGCTCAAGGATCTGAAGTTACTCAGATTATTTCCAAGTCTTTGAATCAAGAAAGTAAAAAGATAACACCCGTGTACACTTAATCAATAGATTTATTCTACCTTTAAAACCATTTTAAGTTTTTATGAAATTATTAAAAGTACCTTTTTCATTACAGAAATGTTCAAAAAAGGTATAAAGCAGAAAACCAAGACCCCTCATAACCTCAGTCCTGTAGGTGCACTTGTGTCATCCAAACCTCATCTTATATTCTTCTCCCAGTACATGGTAGCTGTGTTTTCCTACTTGCTCTGGAGAAAAGTGCTGTAATTTTTTTATGCTTCTGTTTTCTCTGAAAACCCTTGTTCAATCCATTATCAGATCCTATTAGCTTTGCTTAAAAAATATTTAGTATTTGGCCAATATTCACAAACCCCATCTATACTAACCTAACCTAACTATCATCCTTCTTGTCTAGCCCTATAGTATTCAAGGAATAATAAGGTTTTAGATTCCACATTGCTACACAAAACACATATTTTATATTTTGTTGTAGCATTAAAGAAGGATAACCACAATTATAAAATGGCAACAAAAACACTCTTCCCTAAAACTGTTGTTTGTAAAAAGAGATACATGGGGATATTGCAAAAAGTTCAGGGAAAAATATAATTAAAAGTTACTATGGTAGAAAAAGTTTTCTAGCTCACGTAAATGTTCTGTTTAACGCATTGTTTGGATTATATGCTTTTTTGGTTAATGCATTTTTTTAGGAATTAAGAAAATTCTTATTTAGTTATTTGAAAAGCAGGGGCAGTAACAGAGGTAGAAAGGTGTAGAACATTCCCATCCACTGTATCACGCTAGTGTCTGCAACAGCCAGCGCAGAATCTGGGGGCCAAGAACCAGAGCTAGGCTTCTGGCAACAGTGGCAGGAGTACAACTCCCTCAGCCATCCCAGGGTCTTGCCTTAGCATGAAGACAGAATTAGGAGCCAAAACTGAGCATCCAACCTAGGTTGTCTGATTGTTTTAACCTATAACCTAACCACTAGCTAGGTTAAATGCTAGCACCTTATATGAACGAAAGAATTCTGAAGAATTCTTTTCAAAGTTTTTTCAACAAACATCATTTTTCAACTTAGAAAATTAAAACCATTTAATTTTAAATCAACTTACCATTTAAAAAAATTCTGGTATATATTATCATAAAGTATGATAGAAAAGGGTAGAAGTTAAAGTTATGGGGGACAATGTGGGTATTAGAAATGACTTTCATACCTGACACACTCTGAGAGCTTGGTCCAAGACTGTTTTGGTATCAGTATCATAATCGGGGCAAGGAAGCATGGCTCGGCTGAGATGTGCTTGTAGGAGGAGATGTGCTTTGGTGTGTGGGCTGTCAAATGAGTGAGGATTTAATTCAATGGGAAGACATTTTGCCAGTTCGCTATTCATATGATCTTCATTGTGTCTTACAGGCAAATCTGTGTATTCTTCTGCATCCTGAAAAAAAATCCATATATGTACCCATGAATATATACATATGTACCTACACACATATATCTGTTATATCAAAAGCATAATAACTAATGCATTTCTTAGCTTCAAATAATAATATCTAAAGCACATTTAGATAAACCACAAGATAAGCAAATCCCGTAGAATTTGGTCCTGTTTTATGCTATCATTAGTACATAACCAAAAGCTAGTTAATATACAATATACCTAAAATTCAAGGGTATTCTTTTGCAGTTACATAGTCAACAAAGATAACAAAAACCCTGAAAGATATCACACCTTTCTAAGATGACAGGGCTTCCATAGTGAACCCTGAACTGATAGTCCATTAAGGAAGAAAAGACAAATTCTATAAAGTCTAATGTAATAGTGTCTTAAGTACATAGAAATGAAGAGAGAAATAGGAAAAGCTCTTTGAAAACGTGACATTTAAGTTAAGATCTGGAGAAAGAATGGCAGAAATAAGGCAAAGCTGCAGAAAGGTGTGAGGATAGAATATGCAAGGTGAGGAAATGGTGAACAGTGGGACCATTGAGAATTATTGCAATTCACTATATTAATCAATGCATTCTGGAATATGTATATGGCAAAATCTTACATTTTGATTTTTCATCTTAGGTTTCAGGACAGTTTAATAGTGACAATTTGCTTACATGATACTGGTCACTAAAGATCTACTTAATGACCCTACTAAATATAACTATACAAGTCCACTTAAAAACAATCAGATGTACTTTGTCATGATTCAAAAGTAAGAGATCCTGGATTTATCCCTCTTCTGCAGTAAACTCCCACTTCAACCCCCTTAAAACAAAAGACAAAACATGACCCAATGTTTTTGAAGTGAATGTACGTAAGCTATGAAAGGCAGTGAGCGATCCATGAGATACAGAAAAATAATTAAGTGACTTGCATTTCCTGGCTGTGCTGTGGAAAGACAAGAAATGAGATATTCTCTTCTTGAATTAAGAAAATGAAGTTGAGAATTTAGGGAGATGAAAATAGCGACAATTTATAACAGCAGACTACAAAAGGAGGAAATTACACAAGAAGGAAAGGAAGAGGGGGAACAAAGAGGAGAGTGGGAGAATACTCCAGTGCTCTACATGCAGAGCACTCATCTGGAATTTCCAGGATGGTACTGAAGGTACATGCATATGAAGAAACTATCTTAAAGTTAGGAAAGAATTATTGCAAACAGTATCTAGCACTGACACAATACCAGGAATCATGGTGCCTGCTTTCTCCATTCTAATCAGAGAAACTCAGAATTCACAGGATACAGGGTAAAGAAGGAAAACACACCACACACACACACACACACACACACACACACACACACACACGAGGATAGCTGATTTTTGACAAAGGCTCAAGAGAAAAACAGTGGAGAAAGAACAGTCTTTGGAAGAAATGAACATATCATGCCAACAAGAGGGGAATTTGATTCCTAATTTATAATAGTAAAAAGTTTATTCAAATTGTATCATAGAAGCAAATAAAAAATCTGAAACCAAAGAACTTTTGGAAGAAAATATTGAATATCTTTGCTATCTAGAGTAAGAAAAAAATTATTTCATTAGAAAGCTTACATGATCGGAAAAGGAAACTATTAAATAGAATGTCATCAGAATTAGAAACTTGAACCCTTAAAGAGACACTGTTAAGTGAATAAAAAATACTACCCACAGAACGAAAAGATCTCTCAAAACCAAACAGTGAAACAAACAATCCAGCAAGGAATGAATGTTCAAACTTAAAATCATTGACATACCAAGTACTGGAGACAATTTTATAAGAACTGCAACGTTGACACATAACTTGTGGGAATATAAGTGTTACAATCTCTTTGGAAAATAGTATAACATTTTCCTAAAACATTAAACATATTTGCTACCGAATCCAGAATTTCATATCTAGGAACTTTGCTCAAGAGAAGAGAAGTGTATGCCCATAGAAGCACTACTGTTGTTCACAGTAGTATGTGTAAGGAAAAACACTGTTTAAAAAAAATCAAAATTTCCAACAACATCCATAAAATGGAATTCAATCCAGCAACCAAAACTAATTATTGACTGCCAAAAACATAGATAAGCCTGAAAATAATTATGCCAAGTGAAGAATATAGACCATCGCTAACAACAAAATACATTCTAAATCAAACTACCCATCAGAAAGATTATCCACCTTGACCAAGTGAAATTTATCCCAGGGAAACAGGAATGTTTCAACATATACAAACCAATTAATATGATAAATCAACAGAAGAAATAATAAAAATCATATGATTATCTCAACAAATACAGAGAAAGTCTTTGATACATCTTTTCAATAATAATAATAACAACAACAATAATTATAATGAAAACTCTTAATCCAATGTGGTATAAAATGGAACATATGTCAACACAATAGAGGTTATATAAGAGAAGTTCACAGTGAGCATCATATTAATTGGCAAAAAAATGAACGCATTTCTACTAAGCAATGGAACAAGAAAAGAACATCCACTTTCACCATTATTATTTAAAAAAATTTCTAGAAGTTTCAGAGCGATTAGAACTAGTATAAACATTCAGCAAAGTTGCAGCATATAAAAAACTCAGTAGCATTTTTATATACCAGCAATGGTCTCCCTAATAAAATGTTATCAAAATAGTCCTATTGAAAATATCTGCAAAAAACTTAAATACCTTGGTATAAATTTAAGCAGCAATGTGAAAGACCTCGATAATTAAAATAAGGAAACATTAATAAAGAAATAGAAGCATGAAAAAATTGGAAAGACCTTCCAGACCCACAGATTGGAAAAATTAACATTATCTATGTGTCCACGATATCCCAAATAATGTATAAATTAAAAGCAGTTTCCACCAAAATACCAGTGGCATTCTTCACAGAATTGGAAAAAAAAATTCCTAAAGTTTATATGGAAATACAAAAGATCCCCATATAGTTCAAGCAATCCTAAAGAAGCAAAACAAAATCAGAGGCATCATAATATCAGCTTTCAAGACGTACTATAGGGTTATTATAGACAAAACAGCGTGCCACTGGCATCAAAATAGATACAGACTAATGGGTGCAGAAGAGAAACATCAGAAGTAAAACTGATGCATGTAACACCAACTTATCTTTGACAAATGTGCTAAAAGCAATCCCTGGAAAGGGGATAATCTCTTCAGTAAATGGTGCTGGGGAAACTGGATTTCCACATGCAGCAGTTTGAAACACACCATTTTCTTACATTCTATACAAAACAAATTCAAAGATCAAGGATCCAAATCCATCCCTTAACAATTCAAACTATGAGAGGAAAGGATAGGGCGAAACATCCCAATACACTGGCAAAAGCAATGTCTACTTGGATAAGATCACAAAAACATGGGCAACAAAAGCAAACATTGACAGATGGGGTAATATCAAACTAAGACACTTTTACACAGAAAGAAAACAACAGGATGAAGAGACAGCAGAATAACGGAAGTTATGCATCTGATAAGAGACTAAGAACATGAATATATAAGGTCCTGAAGAAATGGGGAAAAGAGAGTGCATGTTGTGGTACAGTGTGCTCAGCTACCGATTATGATGTGGTTTTCCCAGTCTGAGTTCTGCCCATTCACACTTTTTGTGATACAGCTCCCCGCTAATGTGTCTAGGAAGCAGGATATAGGAGGCCCCCATGTGGGAGACCTAGATGCAGTTCCTGGCCCTTGGCGTCAGCTTGGTCTCCCTGCATGGTCATTGGTCTCTGGTCACTGGAGGAGTGAACCACTGAATGAATGGAAGAGGTGACACACACGCTCTCTCTTTCATTTTGCCCTTTAAAATAAATAAGTAAATACATAAGCAAATAAATAAATAAATCTTATAAAAAAGGAACAGAAAAAGAATCTGAGAACAGATTTTCCAAAATAAGAAATGTAAGTGGCTAACAAAATTAAAAAAAAAAAAAATAAAACTCTGCTTCACCAAAAACCACCACAAGCTATCATCTTAACAGAATGACTTTCATTCTAAGAAAAGAAAATTGCCTTAGAGAAAAGACCTAACACACTGTTTGCAGGAATGCAAATTCGTACAGCCAGCACGGAAAACATGGACATTCTTTAAAAAACTAAAGAGGTCTACCTTATGACCTGGCAATCCCACTTCTGAGTCCATCCACCTGTGCATGTCGCAGTACCTGACAGTGGTGCCTGCCCTCCTGTGTTTAGTCATACAATACACAATAGCAAAGATATGGATTCAACCTAGACATTTACTAACTGATGACTTTTTAAAGAAAATGCTGTCTACCTATATGATGAACTATTACTTAACCATAAAAAATGAAACCCTGACATTTGTAACAAAATAGATGGAGGCTGACATCATTATGCCAAGTAAAACAAGTAAAACAGACTGCATTTGTTTTCTCACAGATGTGGAAGTACAATGTATACATTAAAAATGTGTAGATGCTATATTATTTTGTGTATTTTTAAATGACTTCACTGAATTATACCTCTTACGTATTAATGTATCTTTCTTTTCTCATATTATTTCCATGTAAATACAAAGACCCAGTAGTAGGAGGGAAACTGGTGAGTCTAAAAGAGTAAAAAAGTCGTATTTAATGTAGTTTCAAGTTCATATAGAAGGCTAACAAAAAGCATTTTTAATTACATGAAGATTCTAATAAACTGTATGGATGCTTGCTGACTATGCCCTTCTCATTTTCTTTAACAGTCAGGATTATCATGATACTTTCCACTAATGTGAACCTTCTCCTTTGTACTGCTTTTGTGTAAGAAGCATATGCTGACACACAAGTTAACTATCCTGTGCTCTGATGTGTCATCATGACCCTTTACATGTGTCATTCTAGAATCTTCCAAAAATGAGAGACCTGCTATAAATACACAGTGCTGCTAATTTTGGGTTCAGGGAAACTTCAGCACTGAAGCACTATCACCTGTTTACTAATCCACTTCAATCTA